AGGAAGTGGGTGAGAACTGCTCGACCGGAGGGAGGGAGGCCCTGCGGGAGGGCTCTCTGTGTACACAAGCACACCTGGGCTCGGGTCTGCTCCCAAAGGAGCTGCGTGTAGGACCTCGAGCAAGGCGCTTTGCCTGGGACAAGTTCCGGCCTTTCATACCTTACCAAGAGTTGAAGTATAACATCTATGGAAAACAGGTAAATCACCGTCTTATACATATGTATCATCACTGATCCTACATGGAAGGATAAGTGTGGTGAGTGCTGTGGGGTGACTTATTTATTCTCTGTGCCCAGCTCACTCCAAGTGAGGCAACGTCAGCATCAGTTCTCGGAGACGCAAAGCCTTAGGCCTAAGCCAGACCACTTAACAAGAGACGACGCATACGCACATTAGTGCTGAGGGGCACTGTTCAAGTCCACTTTCCACCCCCCCGGTGACTTTTTAACTGCAGAGTCTGGGAATCCCAGAAACAACATTGCTTCACATTTCTTTTCAGTTAGGGCCCTGCTTGGAAATCAGGTGCAAAATAAAACACACACCAACCACGCGCCCAGTCTGCCGCAAGCACTGTACACACGGCAGGAACTCATAACCCTCCCCCAAGCCATGTGGGGTCGCTACAGCTACTTTCCCTTTATGCAGATGGAGAAACCAAAGCCTGAGAGGTTGAAGGTACAGCTACTATGCGGCAGTTAGGAGTCAAACCTAGGTATTCTGAACCTAGAATCTATACTGTTAATTACATGCCTGCTGCATGGTGAAACAAAAAGCATAAGACCTTCCTGCATTGCCACTGTTTTTTTTTTAAAGATGATCTTGTGGAACATATTTTAGTAAGCATTGTTTACAGAAGTTCCTCCATGTATTTACCTAAATATCTAGGGGCCAGTATTGGTCTGAAAGTTCCAGGTACTGCAGATGCAAGAAACAGAAAGGCAGTATTACCATTTGAAAGGAAGAAAAACCAACCTCTACCTAGTGTGGATGATCACATACCTGGAAGTTGCAAAATAAACAAATCTAAGAGATAGTGGTATTTATTAGTATTAGAATTAATAAAAGAGTTCAGAAAAGTAGCTGGTTAAAAACTAAATACATAAGAACCAATAGCTAGAAACCAGCAGCAAAAACACAATATGGAAAGAAAACCTGTTCACAATAGCAACAACAATATAAAAGTTTAATAACAGTCTTAAAGCTGGGCAGAAACTGGATTATTCAGTGACTAGGGGAAAAAAGGATTAGTCCCACACCTCACATTACACATGAAGTTATTCAAAAGAGATTAATATTCAAAAGAGAGTGAAAAAAGAAAACCATAAACACACACACACACACAAGAAACTATTGGTAGGTATTTGACTGATTATAGAATTAGAAAGACTGTTCTAAACAAGTATGTGTGTGTGTGCATGTTCATGGAATTACCAAATATCCTCTGGATGATAAAAATGTAAAGCATTTCTAAATCAAAAAAATCAGAAGCAAAAGTATAAAGTGAATAGCAAGCAGGCAAATATGTGAAATAATGGATAAATATAGTGATGTCAGAAAAAAATGGTCTAAGAACATGATTTGAAAAGAAATACAAAAGTACAACATGTGTATGAATGATTTAGTAAACCTCTTCAGCAATATCTTACCATAGTGAGGCAGTTGTGCCTACTAAATTGGCAAAGATTAATCTATAACTGCACTGCCCACAGCTGGCCTGGATGGTTCCCCTTGGCTCCCACAGCAGAATGCACAGCAGTACACCCTTTCTTGGATGCAAGTCTTTAAGATGTTTCAGATTTCAGAGTGTGACTCACTGACCTAGTTCCACTTCTAGGAATCAATTCCAAGATGGAGCTTGAGGATTTACAAGCAAAGATTTTTTTCTTAGAGCATTATTTATAAAAGAAAACTTAAGGCAACTCAAATATGTCGCGTTGGGGGAATGGGCAATTAGGCAGACCTAAAAATAATTTTAAACTGAATTTTGATACCTTGGAAGAATGATACCATGTGAAAAGTAGATAAAACAAGAAACCAAATTCAAACATTACATTAAAATATGTTTAAAATATATTATGTGCATATGCATGCCTACAGAGAGGTATATGAATGTACCATTACTAAATGTTTGATATTTTATAAAAAATTTGACTTGAAGTAAGATTCCAAATGCTTTTGTTTTTCATATTGGATCTGTCTATATTTTACATTATTCAAAACACACCTTACTTTTATAATCATAAAGAAAGGGCTTAAAGCTGAAGATGATGATTCTAAAGTCAACCTAAGGTGGACGGGGCCTCTCCTGGCTCCAGGTAAGCAGGTCCATCTCAGGCTCTCCAGCCTGTGGACTCCTGTACCAGAGTGCATGCCACTCACATGTGGGAGACACGTGAGAGAGGGGGCCACAGATGGTTAGCCCCTAGCTGTGAGCTGGGCAGACACTCCTGCATGAAGCCACCTGGCATCCACAGTCATGGACAGGACGGATCATCACTCATGCACCAGACACCCAAGGCACGAGGGGACTGTGCCTGTCACTGCAGCTCCTTGGGCATCTTGTCTCCCCCCTGGCTTATCTCTCCTAGAGGCTGGACTGCCTCTGTCAACTTCACACAATTGCTCCACCCAGAGGACTTGAATCATTCTTCCAGGTCCCTTCCCAGGATACACGGTTTTAGCTAGGACTCCTCTGTCAATCATCCCATGTGGGAAGAATCAGGCCAAAGGACAGAGGTGCCTCTAAAGACAAATTGCAAACTTAGATGCTTCCGTGTGGCCAGTAAACCTAACACTGACAGTATCCCAGTTATTAAAGAAACAACTGTATTAGTACCAGTATTTCATATTAATATTACTTAAAATAAATTCCTAAATTTAGGTGCATTTTGATCTGGTATCATAATAGCAATGAGCCAAAAATAAGTGTATATAGTCAAAGATGAGTCAAGAGCCTTTAGATTGCAGGACCAGCATGAGCCTTTCAGACAGGAGTGGAAAGAAAAGTCGGTGAAGGAGAGGATGTGTGTGGAGTAGCCTGTAGTCTAGGGAGGAAACCTGCCCCATAAAATTATCAGGTAAGGCAAAGCTCTGCGAAGGAAATAACTGCAAAAGGATGAATACAGAACAGCAGCGCAGGCTGGAGCTGCCGCACTTGAAGGAGCCTCCAGTTCTCTCTCCGGGTCTGGAACTGAGAGCAAAGAGTGGCCTCTGCCTCATCTTCAGCTGGTTCGTGTTTGTTCTTTTTCCATTTATATCATGCTTTCTATTGAAAAATTCAATTTCACTATTCACCCCAATGTTCATAGCAGCACAATTTCCAGTAGCCAAGTGCTGGAAGCAACCTAGATGCCCATCAGTAAATGGGTGGATCAAAAACCTGTGGTACATTTGCACAATGGAATTCTATGCAGCAGAAAGAAAGAAGGAGCTCCTACCCTTTGCAACAGCATGGATGGAGCTGGAAAGCATTACGCTAAGTGAAACAAGCCAGGTGGTGAAAGACAAATATCACATGATCTCACCTTTAACAGGAACCTAATCAACAAAACAAAGAAACAAGCAAAATATAACCAAAGACACTGAAACAGAGAACAGGCTGACAGTGACCAGAGGGGAGAGGGGAGGGAATTTCAGGGGAAAAGAGGAAGGGTTTGGAGGAACAAGTATAAAGGACACATGGTCAAAAACAAGGGGGCAGTGGAAATGGGAGGGAGGTGGGGAGGGGTGAGGCGGTGGGCTAGGATGGGAGTAAAAGGCAGAAACCTGTTCTTGAACAACAATTAAAATAAATAAAAATTTTTAAAATTCTTTAGAAGAAAAATTCAGTTTCAGTTTTAATTATCTAGTTTACAAACCAAGTTTTCAAAACTATTCCATTTGTAATTTGGAGTCTGTGTGTCCTTAAAACAACAAAACAAACACACATCCCCTTAAGAAAAACTCAATAAAGCAACCCCTTAGGATATGTTTTATCATTGTAATTCCATTTACTTCTACCTCAAATATCTTTGTATCTGTACTTGTCTCTAAAATCATTGCGAGGCAACGCATACCTTGGGAACCTCAGCTGGCCCACACGCCCCGCCGCCTTGTGAGTTCCTCTTGCCTTTTCCCTTCACTTTTCCAGTTGAACAACTAAAGTGAGAGGGAACTAAGCCCTTTAGCTACCGACTCATGGTGCAGGTAACTGGAAAAAAACAGCAAGAAGAGAATCGGGGATCTGCCACCTGCCAGCGAGTCCCTTCGTTGTCACAGGGTGGAGAACTACAGCCCATATGGTGAGTGACCCGACACAAAGGCATAATTCTTGTGGGCCGCACACGGCTTTGTTTCCTAAATCAAATCTTGAAAGTAAAAGTCACACTTCAGCTGTCAATGCCTTTCATGATGACACAGGACTCTGTGAAATGTGACGAGGAGGCACTGGGAGGAGGCACACGTCGGTGGACTGCGCGCCCTTGGGCGCTGCGGAGCGAGCCGGGGGTCCTGGCTCCACGGGCTGAGCTGGGGGCGGGGCGGGAGGGGTCCGTGGGGCCTCGCCATTGCGCCGCCGCGGGAAAGGCACCCCAGCAACCTTCCCATTTCTTTTACTAAATGTCCTGCCCAATCGCGGAGATATCGCACTGCACTTAGTGAGAGCACACTCGTCATTTCCAAAACTCCCGACCCCGCTTTCCCCGTGCCCGCGCGGGCCTCGCACGTTTCTCCTCCAACCCGGGAACTGAAAGCAACTGCTTTGCTTTTTCACTTTTAAAAGGAAACTGAGGTTGTCCTGCGCGTTTCTGCGCGGAACTCGCCGCGGGGAATCCCTGTTAGACGCCCGCCGGGACGCAGGCCTCTGGCCCGCCGCCCACCTGCGCCCCGCGCACCTGTCCACCGCCGCGCGCGAGGGCTGTGCGCGGGGCCACGTGCGCGGAAGCCCCCGGGCGGCGACGGCGACTCGCGCGCCTCCGCCGGCCCAGCGCGCCCCCGCCCCGCCGCGCCCTGGCCCCGCGCACCTGCTCGCGCTGCTCCGGTGGCCGCCGCCTCGGGCTCGCCCCCGGGCTCCGCTCGGCCCCCGCTGCTGCCCGCTCCGCCGGCGCGTCCCAGTGGTCGTGGAGCGCCCCGCCGCCTCTCGGCTCCCAGGCCGAGCACATCGCGCCGCCACCGAGGGCCGCCCAGAGCTCCGCAGCGCCCGCCCCGCGGCCTCGGGGAGGGCGCACCTGGGGCGGGGCCGCGGGGCGGGCGCGGCGGCGTGTCTGTGTGTGACCCGGTGCGCGTGGCCGACACCTGCACACGGAGGCGCTGTCCGGTGTGGCCCCTCGGAGGTTGCCTGGCGCTGGGGCGTGCGGGGGTGCTGCTGGCTGCGGGTCAGCGGCAGGCTCTCGTCTCTTTTGTTCCTTTGTCTGCGCTCCGGTGTCTCAGCGAAGTGCTCTGTCGCCCTGCCCGGCGCCTCCCGCCTGTACGTTGGTTGTCCGGCGTGGGAGTGTAGCTGCCTTTCTGACAATTTCTGTAATGGATGAGGATATGTTTCTGTCAGTGGCTGTCAAGGAGGACGCATGTGATTTATAATTCATTTTCTTACTACCTGTCATATTGTGATTTCATAATAAAAATATGTATATATAGCTGGTCTTCATCCTATATTCCTGGCTCAGAGCTGCTGAAACTCTTGGAATTTTCCAAGTGTTAAAAGTGACCAAGGTCTCTCTGAGAAGGACGTTTGGACCCATCTGAGAATGGGGCTGATGGGATGCAGCCCGCCCAGGGATCAGAGGGTTTGAACTTGCAGTCCCAACCCCCCACCTCCCCGCTCTCTGGAGGGCCCAGGGGCTGGAAGTTGAACCCATCACCAGTGGTCAGTGCGTGAATCAGTCACACTTAGGTAAGGAAGCCTTCACAAACCCCCAAGGATTCAGAGCTTCTGTGGTGGTGAAGCACCCGAGTGGGGAGAGAGGACCTGGGAGCTCTGTATATCTATCCACACACCTGGTCCAATCTGCCCTCCACCTGTGTCCTTCATAAACGACTGGTAAACGTAAGTAAATGTTTCTCTGAGTTCTGCGAGCAGTTATGGAAAATTGCAATGGAACCTAGGGGTGGGGCAGGTTGTGGAACCTCCCATTTATAGCCAGTCAGTCAGAAACACAGGTAACAACCTAGCCTAGTGACCAGCATTGAAAATGTTGGGGGCAGGCAGAAGTCTTGTGGACCCTCTGGAGCCCTTAACCTGTGACATCTATGATCTGTCTCCAGGTAGATAGTATCAGAACTGAGTTAATTTCTTGGCAGTGTTCAAAACCTCACATTGAACTACCCTGCCCTAGAGGGAAATTGAGGGGTGCTTAAATAAAATATTAAATTTTCTGTATCTCTTATCCGTACTTTGAGAAAATGAAATGATGGAGTATTATGTAGATAAAGCGTCCGGCTCTTTGTCAATGGAAAGTAACTGTGTGCCTGGCTATGGAGAAGAAGAGCACTTCTCTGGGATCTTGGCTCCCAGCCCCTCGAGTGTGACAGACCACCGCACCTCCCTGCACCGTGCCAGCCTCGCCCCGGAGACGAGATGCTGCAAGTGGAGGGAGCAGATTTGGCTTTTTTGAGTGTCTGGTCACCAGGGCTGCTTTAACTCTGGCAAAGCGGGTACTGTCAACATCAATGACCCCTTCATTGACCTCAGCTATATGGTCTGCGTGTTCCAATCTGAGTCCACTCATGGCATGTTTGAAGGCTCAGTCCAGGCTGAGAATGGGAAGGTGGAAGGTTGTCGTCAGTGGAAAGCCCATCCCCATTTTCCAGGAGCCAGACCCCACCAACATAAACGAGGTGATGCTGACGCTGAACATGCTGTGGAACACACTGGTGTCTTCACTACCTGGGGGAAGGCTGGGGCTCACTTAAGGGTGGAGCCAAGGTGGTTATACCCTCCTCCCCTTCTGTGGATGCTCCCATGTGTGGTGGGTATGAACCATGGCAAATATGGCAACAAGACTGTCGGCAATGCCTCCTGAACCACCTGCCCATGGTCACCATGACAACTTTGGTAGCAAGGAGTGACCGCTGCCACCCAGATGACCATGGGCCCACGTGTGAGAAGCTGTGGTGGCCCAGGCACTGCCCAGAACATCATTCCACCTGTACTGGAGCTGCCAAGGCTCTGAGCAATTTTCATCCCTGAGTCGCGTGAGAAGCTCACTGGCATGGCCTTCTGTGTCCACACCTCCAATGTGTCAGTTGTGGATCTGACCTGCCACCTGCAGCAAGCTACCAAATACAATGACATCAAGCAGGAGGTGAAGCAGGTGTTGAAGACCCCCCTCCAGGGCAAGCTGGGTCATACTGACGGCCAGGTGGTCTCCTCTGACTTTGATGCTGGGCTAGCGCTGCCCTCATTGACCACTCTGTCAGGCTCGTTTCCTGGCATGACAATGAATTTGGCTACAGCAGCAAGGTGGTGGGCCTTATGGTCCACATGGTCTCCAGGAGTAAGAGCCCCCTGGGAGTACCATCAACACCTGGGAAATTCTGGCAAGAGGAAGAGAAGCCCTAAGGCACTGGGGAGTCCTTGACCCAAATCGATCTTGAGACTCTCCAGATCACCAGTTTCCTTGCAGACCCCCTCAGAAAGGGGAGAGGCCTCAAGAGCTCTACATTATCATGCACCCCCAAAAGTTATTTTGGACATCCTATTAAAATATCTCCAGGAACAGACAGGGAATTAGAATGGGGGAACTTTAAGTCTTATTTTAAACAACTGTTTCCTGTTTTTCTTAGTCAGGGAAATAGAAACTAGAAAATATGCCTTTTGCTATTACAAATTAGAAAGAAAAAGAGTCTGGTTTATTTCCTTTCTTATAAGCCATTTTGCACCCAGAGGAAAGTTATTACACATATAAACACTTCAGAAACGAATGTTACAATGGGAATCCTAAAACATTCCCTCATTTACCTCATTGCTTTCCTTTAATGTCAGCTCTCTCATCCTTGAAATTTTGCTTTGGCCCCTAGTAGTTTTTGTTATAAAAGTGGCTATATATATATATATATATTTAAAATACTTTAGAATTATATATAATGGCACCTAGAATGCAGAAAGCAAAGAAAAGGAGGAGAGAATGAAGAAGACATAGAAAACAAAGAATAAGGAAAGAATGGAGAGAATGTAGAAAACCACAACAAAAAATGAAAGGAGAAATGCAGAGGATGCAGAAAATAGAACATGGAGAAAACAGAAAGAACACAGAAAATGGAGAGAACTAGAAGAGAATGGAGAGAATGCAGAAAACAGAGAAAATGAGGAGAGAACTTGGAAGATGTAGAAAGTGGAGAAAACACAGATAACAGAGAAGAAGAAGAAAACAGAACAGGGAAAATGAAAAGAATGAAGAGAGAATGGACAGAATGCAGGGAATGGATGAAATGAGAAAAGAATGGAGAGAACGCAGAGAGGATGGTATGGATGCAGAAACTGCAGAGAACAGGAATGGAGAGAATGCAGAAAACAGAGAATGAGGAGAAAGCAGAGAGAAGGAGGAGAGGATGGAGACAAAGAGCCAATAATGAAGCAAATGAAAATGGGGAGGACATAGACAATGAAGAGAATGTGGTTAATCTTATTAAAGTGTATTTTTACTAAGAAATCACCCATTTTCTCAAGGTTTCTAGTTTGATGCAATAGACTTTTCTTATTTGAGTCCTAATTTTTCTCTCTATTTTTGTACAGAATTGTTAAAATTAATAAACAAATATTAATACATTCTTCTTAACTGAATTCTATATTTTATTCAGTTTTCCTACATTCAAGGCTCATTCTCAGTCCTGGCCTCCATTTGTTCAAGTACTCGCTGATCTTCCAACCAGAGAGGTTGATGTTAACATATGGAATTCCTTTTGAGTGATGGAGTGGTGTGGTCTGAACTAAAACCAGGAGAAGAAAGTGGGGCTGGTGTGGCTGTTGTGGCCTGAGAATTGAAATGTTGTGAGTTTGATTCCCAGTCATGGCTCATGCCTGGGTTGAGGGCCAGGTCCCCATTTGGGGGCATGGGAGAGGCAACTGATCAATGTGTCTCTTGCACATTGATGCTTTTCTCCCTCTCTTTCTCTATGCTCTCCTCTCTCTCTGAAAGTAAGTAAAATCTAAAAAAGGAAAAAGAAAAATAAAGTGGGGCCTGATGAAGAGTCTCAACATTGTACCTATGGTAGACACTTTATTCTCTAGACTGGGGTGGGGGAAGCTGTCGCTAATTGTCATGCATGGGAAGTGCCAGGATTAGATCCCTAATTTTGACAGATTGAGCTGGTCACAGTGTGGAGGTTGGACTGGATGACAAAGGGACAGAGAGAACAGTGAGAAGACTGGTGAAAGGAGGTGCTGGCCAGAGCTGAGGCGGGACCCTGAGTTTGTTGAGGAGCAGGGGTGTGAGGACCAGAGGCTGTGGTCAGTGCTGCCTTGAGGAGGAAGCCAGACTGGTGCAGGAGTTACTACCTAGTGGGACTTCCGTTATCTGAACAGTGGTAGGAGAGCTCATTTTGCTAAAAGGAGACTATTTGCTAAATTCTTGATGTATTCAGCCCATAGAAGGAAAAGGGACAAAGTAGGGAAAAGAGAGGGAGAGCAAGTGTTGGGCAGGAGCTTCATGGAATCCTTCCAGCCACCCTGAGAGGGAGCAATTACCCCATCTGGCAGAGGACAAGACTGAGTTTCCCTTTCTTTGCCTAAAGTCACAGTTAATGAGTGGTTGGGCTGCTGGAGGACAGGCAAGAAGTAGAAGTGGGGAAGTCACTGTAACAGGGATCTCATACTGGTTGTGCTCCTGTGAAGGACCAAACCACCTCCTCCCTCCGGACCTGCTCCTTTCCCAGCTGCTTGCCCAAGTCCCACCCCAAACACCAGCTGGGGTGGGTGTGTGGCAAGGTGGACCTTTAGGTTATGAACACAGTTTCTTCAGATAGAATGACCAAGATCCAACCCAAACCTGTAAGGACTATGGGATTCCTCTGTTTGTCCAGAATACTGTCTGTGCATGCTCTTCTGGCCCATCTTGGCTCATTTCAGTCTCAGTTCTGGACTTTGAACTATATTAGAATCAGTTTTGAGTTTAAATACTCATAATAGGGAATTTACAAATGCCCCTGCCTCATCTATGTGGATTGAAGATATAAAATTAGATACATGAGGGGTTTAAAGTACGAACTGTATGGAAGTGAGCTTATTACAGGGATCTGGATTCTAACTTTAATGCTGAGAGAATGGAGCCTTTCAAGCAGGAAAATCCTCTTTGCTGCCATCTCGTGGGCATTTTTGGAATAATACAGTGGTCATGACTAGGAAAAACTTTCTGCTGCTACCTCGTGGACATCTTGGGAATAACACTTGGTTGAAGGTTACTAGAAAAAGTATTTATCTGCTGAAATCTAGTGTATATCTTGAAAATAACAGATGGATGCTTGTAATCACCAAATGATATTCTTTGCTACCATCTCGTATGCATCTTGGATATAACACCAGAATGTATGTCATCATGTTATTCTCTGCTGCCATCTAGTGTGCAACTTGTAAATAACACCAGAGTGCAAGCAGTGATTTGGGACCATTAAGCTATGTGTATTCCTGCCGTATAAATTTATTATTTACCATGAGTAGTAATGTTTTTGTTACAAACACATCAAATAATAAAGAGATGTGCAAATTACCTCTAGTCTCTCCTACTGGGTGTATATGAGATTATCTCTCCAAAATAGGTGTCATCTTTTCATTATAATCTTGTGAAATATTAAAAGTAGTACCACATCAAAGCTCTTCTAATTTGGTCAACTTCTGGAATCAATGCTTTTTTTTATTTTATTTATTTTTTTAGAGAGGGGAGGGAGGGAGAGAGAGAGAGAGAGAGAGAGAGAGAGAGAGAGAAACATCAATGTGCGGTTGCTGGGGGCCATGGCATGCAACCCAGGCATGTGCCCTGATAGGGAATTGAACCTGCGACACTTTGGTTTGCAGCCTGTGCTCAATCCACTGAGCTATGGCAGCCAGGGCTAGTGCATGAAGAATTTTAAAAATTTGCACAGAAATTAAAAATATAAAAATTCTTTGTAAGAGTCAAAGGTATATGAAATGAGTCCTTAATTTCTAAAACATCTGATATGGAAATTTTTGACTTTAGAGGGGATTTTACTGTACTTCGGAGTTGGACCATCACCATGGTCCAACTTTGTTGGCACCAAGGTCCCATCCAACTTTCTAGGGAAAGTTCTTTTCTTTCTGTTTTGAGGAAGAACAGAGGTGCCCACCTCTCCTGGTCGTAAGCTCTCTCTTCCACTTGCTGCCCCACTTGCTGCCCAGCTCCTGGCCATACTCGTCCCCATACCAGACCAGCAGCTCAGAGCCCAGCCTGATGACCCAGCAGGTTCGATAGAAAATCTGCCTGTGGTTTTGAAAGGCCACCAGGTTCTGCTCTTCATCATCCCGGGCACAGTTCACATACCTGGGATTGAGGCAGAGGAAGGGAAAGAAAACCACAGTGATGAGTTCCCACTACCTGTTACATCCATGTCCAGCTCCTCACTGATTCTTAAGGCCTTCAGGCTCTGATGTTGCCCACTGCCACTAATGCTCCTGGGGAACCTTTATTCACTGTCTGAGCGTCTGTCAGCATGTCATGTGAACTCATGTCTCCAAGTCCTGTTTGCAGTGCTAATCCTGCCTAACACCATTTTCTAAAAACCCAGTTCTAGACTTAACCTCCACCTTGATTGGCCATAATATCCAGTGAGCTCTGGGTTCTCTAGACACTAAATCAAATTCTGTTTGACAACCCAGAATCTGGTGCTTGATGTAGACTCAGTTTCTAGATTAGTTCACGTCATTCGATAGTCAGGCTAAGCCCATCTTCTCTTGTGAGGTCTTTCTCCAGGCTCCCCACACTTAACTTGGGGTACCATTCACTTGTCTTCCCAAGGTTCCCATAGAAAGTTGGAGGTCTCTTTGTCTTAGCAAAATGACACAGAATAGTAACAGTTGATTCACATTCTGTTTCCCCTGATGAGAGCCTCTCTCAGAAAAGGGGCCCATGACCATTCCTCTGCAGACCTCAGAGCCCAGCTGTAGTTTGAAGTGAGGCTGGGATGATTTGCTGCCCTCATAGCTGTAGGCCATCCTTGGTTTGTGCTCTCCTGACACTGCTCATCTCAAAAAATAGGAAAATTACAGTTAAATATTTCTGAAAGCAATTGTTTCATGTGTGTCTGCAATAAGTCTTTCATGAGGACATGGTTTGTGTGATCTCTTTAAGTAATAAATTCCTTTGTCTAAACTGGAACATAATATGTGCTTAATTAGTGTTGATTAGATCAATAAAAGTATAATCAAGGATCCCAGGAGAATCTAGGCTCTTCTAGGTTTTTCTGCCCCAGGGCCCAAATTTGGTCTAGCATCAAAAATTTTATAGAATTTTTCTATAGAAACTCTTTATGTTTTCAAGAATATATGCTATATTTCTATCTCCTTTTTTTCTAAATGTCTCTTGATATGAAAGAACACTGTGTGGAGAAAAAGAGGAACAAAGGGTTAAGAGAGACCACTGGGGAGGTGTGATGACAAGGAAGAGGAGTATCCCCTCTGGCACCCAGTGACCGGTCGACCTCACCTCATCCAGTTGGCCCAGGATTTGTCCTTTCCATCCACATACTCATAGCAGTTTCTCCTTTTGGTGATCTGAGTTTCAGAAAAGAATTTAAAGACCTTTTATTTTTTTGGTGGGGAGGTAATAGTCAGAAGAATTATTTTACCCTACTGTGATCAAAGCTCTTCTAGTCTGCATGAGGACTCAACTGCCAGTTGTGACCACATGATATTTTTCTTTCTCATCATCTACACATCTGAGTCTACCTGTCCAATCAGAGCAGGAGCCCCACAAGGGAGGAGCCAGTCCTTTGTGTCTGCACCACTTTGCTCCCACTTACCTTCTGATCCTTAAATAGGAGCTCTGTGTTCATGGAAAGTCCAGTCAGTACACAGAGCTAATATATTGTCCCCTCCATGTCTAGCATTAGGAGGTGAGGTCCCACCAGGCCACAGGGAGGGTGTGGGAAGCCAGAGGACAGGGGAAGAGGTAAACCTTCTCACCAGCCAGGAGTAGCCGCCATTGGCTGCCTCTTCATCTTCTGAGATGTGTCCTTCATAAGGGCCAAAATGCAGACCCACTGGCAAGTCAGCTGCCTCATTCCACACTCCAAGCCCAGCCTCAGGGATGCCTAATGGCCCGATTCTCAACCCAGGGGGCAGGGTGAGGGCTGAGCAGTGGAGATGCCCCTTGTCCACTACACTGTCCATTACAAATGTAGGGGTCCCATGCACAGCACAGCTGTCGATGAAGAAGTTCTGACACTTCTCACAATCTGGAGATGAGAGCAACAGAGGTTAGGGAAGGTATAGTGCTTGTACCTGGACACAAAGAGTTTCAGAGGGACAGCCCAGACCCTCATATCACTGAGCCCCAACCCTGCACTCCTGGTTAGTGGAGGGAGGGAATGATGTAGGGACTAACTGGCTAGATGCAATTATTGTATCATAACATGCTACTAAGTGATGGTCACTTACAAAGGTAGTCATCATCCTGGGGCTCACTGACCTCTTGGTACATATGGCCCTTTCTTTCTCGCAGGCTATACATCTTCACATCTACCTCCTTTCTCCTGGATTCTAAGTTGGAGAAGTGCTAGGTTGGTGGGGTCTGGAGTGTTAGTTCCCATTTTTCAGAAAACAGTCAATCTCCTCCCATCAAATTATCACCTGTCCCTTCTACATACTCTGGCATTTAGAAGGTTTCCTAACTATTGGTTCAGAGAGACTAAGAGTCCACACTGACTACAGATGATTGATTCAATATTAGTTTCTAGATCTTCCCAGGATCAGGGTTAACTTCCCAACCTTCACTCATTCATAAAATATTGATGGAGTGCACATTATGTGTTAGGCATTGAGGAAAGGCCTGGGCACACAACACCAATAAAGTGTGGTTGCTATAATCACAGATGGATTTATTGGACAACTTGCATGTGTCAATTATTTTAAATGTAATTTAATGTTTTCAAACAATATATGAGTGATGTTTCCTTATCTTCACTTTACACATTAGCATTCGGGAGCTCAGAGAATTTATAGGATTTGCCTAAAGCTCCAGTGCTAACTTCAGTCTCAGCTTAGCCCAGCTTAAATCCAGGCCCATCCAAAGTCCACCCCACAGACCTAGGACATATTTATCAGTCCTTTTGTAGGACTTATAGGAGCTAACATTTCTGAATTATTTTCTCTTACCTGACTTTTCTCTAATGTGCTCTCCAGAGGCACTTGTTTCTGCAGGAGGGGACAGTGGTTTCTGGGCCTGCTCTGAGTCACTTGCAGTCAGCAAATTCGCTGTTCTGGACAATTCCTTCAAACTAGATTCATTGCTTAATGATGGTCTGGACATTGCCTTCAATGTGAGGGTCATATATTAAAAGGTAACATGCATTTATTTAATTATTAAGGGCTTATGATATATTCTCACATGCATGAGTGTAATTAATACTTCAGCAGCCCTTGGAAATATCTGGGGAGTATGAATATTAGAATGATAAGAAAGGGCCTATATGGGTATTGAATTCAAGACTAGAACCCATGCCTTAGGCTCTTTCTTTTAAACTTTCTCTTTGATAGTGAGAGTGAGGCATATGTGGAAGAGAATAAAGAAATATTTGGAAGAAACATAATAAAGAAAATGATGCTAAAATTCGCAAACTGTTGTATCTTGGAAAGAATATTTGTAATCAGATTAGCTGGTTCCCACCAATTTTGTTTGAATGAAGTTGTACCACTAGCTAGTTCTCTTCAGTTTCCTGATCTACAACACGCTCATTCTTATTGTTACAGTGACCATGAGATACAACGATGTTCACTGTGTATAACAATATAAAGTGTTCTGTGAGCTGCGTAATACAGTATGGATGTGAGATTACAGTCCTGCCATCAATGTTACCCTCAGCTGTCTCCATATTTGATATCTCACAGAAATTATCTTCAGTGTTCATTGGCCCATTCTAGTTTAATTTGCAATTGTGAAATCATTTATTCAGCAAATGTTCAGGGGCCCTTGGGGCCATGAGACTTCTGAGAAGAATGCAGTATGGACCAGCCTTGGAAAGAGCTCACAACACAGAGGTAGGCGGTCGGTTGGCTAAACAAATGATTCCAAACAGGGTGAGAGTTGTCTCATTAGCACTCAGAGAAAGAAGCTGTTACTTCCTCCTACAGGGATGGGCATTTGAAATCGGTTGCGGATGGATGAGTTTCTGTTGAATAGTGTGTAACCTATATGCAGTCCTTAAGCCATTTTATCACTTGTTTCTCAATCATCAAACCTGAAGCTCCTGAGGGCTGGGAGATGCTTTCTTAGAGTGGGAGGCTCTGGTGCTGCGGAGCCTATACCCTTCTTTATGTGGCACTTTCCACTGTACAAACTGCCTGCACATCAGACACTTCCCTTGCAGGGGTGTCCAGACTGTGGTCCGCAGGCTGCATGCAGCCCAGGATGGCTACGAGTGTGGCCCAGCACAACTTTGTACATCTACTTAAAACATTTGTGATTATTTTGTGACTACATGTTGCAATGTATTTAATGTGTGGCCCGAGACAACCCTTCTTCCAGTGTGGCCCAGAGACGCCCAAAGGCTGGACACCCCTGCGGGGTCTGGCTGCGTCTCTCACTTCAGCATAGCGGGAAAGAATTTCGGATGGAATCATGAGTCAGATGAGTGGTGTAATGATACATAGAAGAGACAGTGTAAACTCTATAAAACTATGACAGTTTTACTGAGTAAGTGGTTCAGAGAAGGAGCTACAGATTAGATTGCACTGCCTCTAATACACAGGATCAAACACTTCTATGTCTCTGAAATTCTGCATTCTCCTACTCTTACCTGCATCTGTATCCACGGGGAAGTTCTTCTTGTCAGCAGGGTTCGGAAACACTCACCTTGTGGTGTTTACTCTGCTCCCCTCTGAAGGCCACCCAAGAAGGTTTGACTAAAAGATGATGAGAAATCAGTGTTTTGGTTGGTAAATGTTTCCAAAATCTAGAGACTCTCATTAGGTACCCAGAATTCCGAATCAGAGGGTAGGCCAAGGGCAATCCAAGGATGATGGAAATGTCTTCTGAGCCATCATTAAGGCTTAAGCTTCTATTCGGGGCACCAAGTAATATTCTTAAAATGCTTTGAAAAAAAAACTAGACAAAGCATCCTATGTGCTTAATCCTACATTCATAAAGTATTTATTATATATATTAAAAAATAAATTAGCCCTGGCTGGTGCAGCCTGTGAACCACAGGGTCGCTGGTTCGATTCCCAGTCAGGGCACAGGTCTGGGTTGCGGCCGGGTCCCCAGCAGGGGGCGCGTGAGAGGCAACCACACACTGATGCTTCTCTTCCTCCCTCCCTAAAAACAAATAAAACTTTAAAAAGCCTTCCTTACTTAAAAAATAAATTCGCCTTTCATGACAAAAATATAACAAAGGTCCTGCGACCGTGCAGGGGCGCCGTGTACAACGTCACACGACCGTCCTCCGTCCTGTCTCCTTCATTCCTGCGGCACCGTGGCCGCCTGGCGTCTCCCCCCACGGGCCGTAGGCGTCGTCGGGCTCTGTCGGCCGCACGCAGTCTCGGGAGGACTTCCCGCCACGACCACGCCCGGACCTCGGCGGTGCGATCGCAGACGCGCGAGAGCGGACCAGCCCCGCGGACCGGACCGCGCGCCGGGTTGGACGCCGCCCCCGCCGGAGAGCCCAGCGCCCGCGGGCACCAGCGCCCGCGGGCACCGCGGGGAACGAACGGCGCCCCCCCCACGCTCCCGCGCGGCCGGCCGGGCACTGCGGGCTCCCGCGGCTGGCCTGCGCGCCCCTCCTCCCTCCTCGGGGCGAGTCCGTCGGACCTCACTCGCGTCCGTGGCCGCTCGCCGGTGCGCGCGCGAACACACGCGACCACGTGCTCGTCTGAGGACTTCCCACGGACGCCCTCGGCGGCCCGCCGCGGCCATCACCTCGCTGCCTGGGCGTCCACTCCTCGTCCGAGTGGTCGCTGGCCGCCGCCCGGGGCGCGGCCGCCCGCCTGCGGCGGGACCTGAAGGCGGGCCGCGGGGCCCGGGGACCTGCGGAGAGACGGAGCCTTGGCCCGAGAGCGCAGCGCCGGGGCGGGCCGCACGGGGGCGCCGCGGGCAGCCGGCCGCCGTTACCGAGGCCGAGCAGCACTTCGTAGTTGCTCTTCACGTTCCGGTACCGGCCCTTCTCCCAGGCGCCCATCGCCGCCCAGTCTGCCCGGGAGAAGTAGGCGGCGATGTCCTTGAAGGCGTCGTCGTCGGCCTGCAAGGGCGGGAGACGGCGTGGGGGCTGCGGCCGGCCGCCTCCGCCCGGGGGCGCCCTCCGCCTCTCGCCGGCCCGCGACGCCGCCCCGCGGCAGCCGGGTCCGCGCTGGCCGCCGCCCCGCCGCTCACCTGCGCCGCCCGGCCCGGTCGCGCCGCGTCCCCCTCGGGGCGCTCCTGCGGCTCGCGGTCGGGGCTCATGGCGTCCCTCCCCGAGTCGGTGGCGCCTGTGGAGGGAGAGGGCGCTGGGAGGGCCGCACGCTTCTCCCCCCCCCCCCCGCGGCTGGCAGGGCGCCCGGAGCGGGGACGTGGGGGCCCAGCGGGACGAGGGCAGTGGACGGGCCACGCAGAGCCGCCCGCGGCGGCGCACGGTCGGCCCCTTCCCTCCGGGGGCCGCCTCAGGAGGAGGCGCGCGGCCCGAGGCCCCCGACCGGGAAGGCGGCTTTCTGGGGAAGGGGCGCGGGGCCGCCCCGAGCCCTGGGGAGTCCGCGCGGCCGAGGCGCGGTCCCCAGGAGACGGCCGTCCGTCGGGCGCCGGGGCTTCGGGGCCCTCAGGACCAGACCCGGGGCTTCCAGGCCGAGCGCGCGCGGTGCTGGCGGCGGGGGAGGCCGCCGGGCCTCCGAGGCTGAGGAGACCGGGGGCCGCTCGCCGTGGGCTCTCCCGACCCCGCGTCTCCGGACGACGGCGTCTCTGAGTTTGGGGAGATTCGGTCCCTGTGGGCGCGCTGCCGGCCGGGTGCCCGGGCTGAGGGGAGCTGGGGCTGTCGGGCTGTTCGGGGGTCTGAGCGTCGGGGGAGTTAGAGTATGTCCGGGCGAGGAGGTCTGGGGGTCCCGCGGGTTAGCGGACTTGGGGCCCCCGCCCCCAGCCTCTGAGGATGAGGGCACCTAGGCTCTCATAGGCTGGACTTTGGAGGCCGTGGGCTAAGGGTTCCACGTGGCAAGGTCCCCGTTTTCCTGTCAGTCTCCCGGATCCCCTGCCTCGCTGCCCACCCTGGCCTTGGCTTCTCAGCTTCTGTCTTCCCGCCCTCAGGAGGTGTGACGCACGGGGGGCGAGGCTCCAGCCAATGTAGTGCAGCGGGCACAAGCAGCCAATCAGTGCTGAGATCGCAGGGTCTGCTCGCCAATTGGCGGTCAGAAGAATCTGAAAAGGCGGGATGGGGGGTGGAGCCTGTCTGTCAGTCTTGGTTTCCCAGGCCCGCCGCATCCTGCGGGGATTGGCTGCTCTGGTTCCTGCGAGTGCCTGTCACTCAGCCTGCAGCGAGGACCGCGGCTTGGTGGTTTCCGTGGCTAGTTTTTCAGCCGCTGGTGAGGGACCCTCCCGCAGGACATGGGAACCTCGAGCCCGGGCAGGTCTTCAGGGTGGATGTGGCCCTCCTGCCACCTGACAAAGTGTCTTTGTTCCACCAGACTGTGGTCGGGATCTCCAACTTTCGTCTAGGCCCGTCTGTGCCCCCCCTTATCGAACCCACTTTCAGTAAGAGCTGTGTAATCAGTGAGGACGCGGTCAAGACTGCATTGCATTCTGGGAAACTGTTGTCAGTAAATTCTGACCACGCAATTCCTAGACACAAAATACGTCCCAGAGGGCCCAAAGACTGAACACATGGAATAATAGGTATACCAGAAAAGCCATGGGGAGAAGTGGTGATACGAGTAATAGGTTTATTGAAGTAGCTTTAGCAGGTCTACAAAGGCTTCAGAAATAAGAAGACAAGATATAAGCAAACAGAAATGAAAACAAACAAAACACCTTGAGAAAACCTACAAGTATTTTGCACAAATATAAGGCACCTAATCTGAGGACCGGGGTCCAGGGTCAGTGTAGCTGCCACTGGCTTTCATAGAAAAAAACGGAAATAGGGTTTCGGGCCCTCACCTCATTTTGAGCACAGAAAGATAACTTCATTTCCATGGGTCAGAAATAAGCCAACTAACTGTAATTATTACTGTGAAATTGCATAAAGGGGAACCTCACCAAAATGGAGTTGGCGGGTGAGAGGGAGTGCTCTCACGTAGCACCACCCTGGGTCAATTACAGGAAAAAGTGTCAACCACAGGCCCCCCCCAGGAAGATGTACTGGTGCCTCCCAGCAGACACTGACTTCCCAGCAACTCAGCCAGAGAGAAACCGTGGAAGTGCAATATGACTTACTTCCATGGAAGTCAACCCACAGAAGTTCTTTACATTCGAAGACCACGGTGCACTCAGGAAGACACCAGCCTTCCTCATCTCAAAATCTTTCATGGAATCATAACTTCTGCAGAAATCTTCATACATCTGTTTTATCGGTTCAGCCACAGCAAACTTATAGAAAGATGCACCCCCCAGAGTCATACAATGATGGCTCCAGCAACATGAAATCACAGATGGCTGGCCTTAAGGCCACACATCCGGGGTTTTGTCAAGGCCTGGAAAAATGGTAGTTACATTCTCCTGAATAACAACGTCCTTCCTTGGGGTGAAAGGGATCCCAACTTAACGCTAATTCAGGTTGGCCAGTTGGATCCTGACAAAGAATTTGGACTTTGTATTATCAATAGAACATACAAGAACTATGTAGAATGATCTGCCCACAATAATTAGTAAATGTTTATTAAGTGATGAAATTCACTGTCATGAACATACAGGGTGGGGAAAATGTAGGTTTACAGTTGTGAGTGTTCAAAACAGAGAATTTATTCTTGCATTATTTATTAATCATTGTACAATTTCCCATACAAACCTACTGCTGCCCTACCCTACATGTGGTTCTATGTAGAATAAGATGAGCAGCAGTTATGAACCACATCTTATACTTCATATGTTTATACAGATTATATTTGCTGAATCTATGAGTCAAATTGATTCTGTCTTCTTTTTTAAATGAGAATAAGATTTACTCAGCCGTCGCGAGGGCAGTAACTGTGAGGATCAGAACCAGAGTCATGCCTGTGTGTGAGTGCCCAGGCTTTCTATTCGGGACAGAGGGTGGGAGTGGGCCCTTTTGTTACAGTGCTGTTATGGCTACAGGGCACTGATGAATGGTCGTTGTTATTTTCTCCCTGCAGGTGCACCTGCTCTTGTTTTTCTTCTTCTTTAACAGGACTCAGAGCAGCAGTAACTGGATCCCCCACTCTCACTCACAGGACTCAGCACTGACATCCCGGCACCCCCAATCTCTCAGGCTTATCCCCTCTACACAGTCCCATGAACCTATGTGACAGGACCCCTGCTCTCTCAGGGGGAGCCCCTCCCCCAATCACAGGGCTCAGATACGAGGTGGTGTCAGGGCTCCATATTCTCTCGGGTGAGACCCCTCCTCACACTCAGAGAACCCAGAGCTGATGGGACAGGTCCCTCTGTGCTGGCAGAGTGGACCTGCTGGCTCTCAGACGCCCACTGCCTGGAAATGCTCTGCTCTGCTGCCATCTAGTGCACATCCTGGGGATGGCACCTATTTACTCAGCAGCTGCTCAGACCGTTTTGCGAGGAAGCTTGGAATCTCCAGGGCACCTCACCCCATCCCCAGCTCAGCAGGTCTTACATGCCCATCCTTGTTGGGCCCAAAGCTCACGTGACAGGGCCCATTACTGCCACTGGGGGGACCTTTCCCCAAACTAATTTGACAAGACCCCTGTTCTCCCAGAGAGGGACCCCTGTCCATGACCACAGAACCCAGAGCTGAAGTGACTCGACCCCCTTACTCTGGCAGCTGGGCCCCTTTGCATACTCATAGGCCCCGAGCTGATGTCACGGGACCGCTGCTGTCTCTGGGTGAAACCCCGCCCCATGCTCCCTGAACCCCCTTAACTGGAGTGGATGCGACACCACCCCTGTTCTCTCTGATGAGACCCCTCCCAGCACTCGGACGATGCAGAACTGTGACCACAGGACCCCACTCTCCCAGATGGGCTCCCCAGTCACGCACAGGGCCCAGACCTGGTGTCACAGGCCTTGCTGTTCTCTTAGGAGGGACCCCTGGCCGTACCGATAAGACCCTGTGCTGAGGCAACACGGCTCCTCACTCTCTGGTAGGACCGACACCTTCTTATAGCCACAGGAGCAAAAGCTGCAGCTGCCGTGCCCTCTACTGTCTCCAGTGTGACCCGGCCCCCATGTCACAGCACCCAGAGCCTATGTGACAGGACCCCCTGCGCTCCCTGGGAGGGACCCTGCACACACTCGGGGGCCCCAGAGCCAAGGGGACAGGAACCACTCTTCTGCCTGGTGGGACAGTTTTCTAGACGCACAGGGGACAGAGCTTGTGTGATGGGCTCCCTACTCTGTCAGGTGGGAGCCCTTCCCACCTCCACGGGTCTTGGCTGTCAGGCAGGACGCCTGTCTTTCCCAGGTCGGGGCCCTCTTCACTGTGGCAGGACCCCACTCCTGGCAGGGACAGGCCCCTTCCCACACGCCCCAGACCCAGAGTTCAGATGGCAGGGCCCCCTACTTTCTCAGTGAGGGGCCCACCCCACATTCACAGGACCCCAAGGTGATGAGACAGCACCCCCGACTATCCCATGTTGGACCCCCACACACTCTCTGGGATCCTGGCTGATGTCAGAAGACCAGGTGTCCTCTCTGGTGGGGCCTCTCCTCCTGCTCACAACACCCAGTGCTGACTGGGAACCACAGCTTCCTCTTCCTGGCGAGGTTTTCTTCCTGCAATTCTGGGACCCAGGGCTGAAGTGACAACACCCCCAGCTCTCTCTGCAAAGCCCCTGTTCCCGCACCCACAGCACACAGGCGATGGGACAGGACCTGTCACACCCACAGGTGGGGATGTTCCCCGAAGTCACAGGGCTGATGTGGCCGAGCCCTGTGCTCTTGGAGGAGGGCTGTCTTCAGGCTCCCAGGACCCACAGCTGAAGTGACAGGACCCCCTGCTCTCTCAAGTCGACCTCTCCCCACAGTCACCGGGATCAAAGGTGAAGGGTCAGGACACTTGCATTTCACAGGGAGGGGCCTTTCTCAACCCTCACAGGACACAGGTGTGCAGTGACAGGACACTCCCATCTCTCCTGTAGTCCTCTCCACACTCAAGTGGCCCAGGCCTGAGGTCACAGGACCCTTACACTCTCAGGTGGGGCCCCTCTCCTTGCTTATAAGACCCAGAGCTGACTTGACACCACCTCTTATGCTGTCTGGTGAGGACCCAGAGCTCATGTTATGGGGCTCCAGCCTCTCAGGTAATAGTACTTCTCCCAGCAGTCAGAGGACCC